TATATTTTGATTTTTTTTTTTTTAATAAATCCAAAGTACATACATACGTACGTTCTTCCTAGACTAGCAATCCAGTTTGTATAGCTAATCTGCCTAGCTGTCCAGACTATCAACTGGTTTAGCATAATAATAAAACAGATTATTTAATGTCAACAAAGGAAATTAAACAAAATTATAGAGTAAAATGAGATGCATCAGAAATACATCATTAGAGAACAGGTTTGTTTGCTTGTTTTTTAAATGGAGAAAGTTTTCTTTAGCAGTATCTTATCAAGTGACTAATCAGAACCTTACATACACTGAAAACCTGGCTCTTGTGCTATGGATTATTGATTTTACAATAAATAATCAACAAAGCCTCTTGTAAAACAGTGTAAAACAAAACAGACTGCAGCATTTCAGCAAAATAATTTATGATATTTTCAGCAGCCTTTCACTAAACCATAATTTTAGCTTATACAGTGAATAAATTATATTTATGCAAATTCATTTTTCATAATGCATTTTTAAAAACCAACGCATTTCAACACTAATTGTTTAACCAGAAAAAGGACAGACCAGTCGATTAACTGAAAGAAAAATACATCTTAAAGGGAATTAAAACCAAACCAGTGTATTTTTTGCAATCGGACAGTCACACATTAGCCAATGTAATCTGGAGTACATTGCTGGCTTCACTGAAGAGTAACTGCGTATAAGAATTTTAGGGCATAATTGTAACAAAGAAGTGTTACAACAATATTAGTTTATAAACATTTCTCTCTTGCTCATGGTCTGTAAACTCCTAAGCTCAGTTCCAGCTACTGAGGATTAAAGGTAAGCATCTAAAATTCCATAGTTTACAGTATCAGTGTTGTTTTACCCATTTCTTTAACTACTAGAATTTTTTTGTGGTAAACGTCAACATTCATATGGTTTTAGAAAGGCAGTACCTATGTCCTTTCAATTTAAGTGGATGCAGCAGCCCATTTTAACATTAAGAAACAAATATAGATGAAACACTGCCTCCTCCATCCCAATTCATTTATCAACAAAATAATGAAACTGATTAATTATTTACAGAGAGCTACATAGTATTCAACAAGACTGAGCATTTCAGAATTCTAGCGTTTTTCAGAACTTGATTAAAACTCCACTCCCAGACAACATCCTGCGTTTTTAGAACCTACTCTGAACCATTTCCATTTTCGGGGGACTGGAGCAGGAGCAGGCAAGAGCAGCACTATCGTCCCCATCGCTGCGCCACCGAACCACCCCCGCTCTGCTCCGCTTCACGCGGCCAACTCAAAACCGCAGCACGAAGAGAACGGAAAATGCATCAGCTAAAGAAGGTTTTTGTTACTCTGCTTTTAAAACCAAAGACAATCTGTTCATTCCTATCATACAGTTCAAAAACAGAGATACAGATTTGTAACCTAAGCTTTTCTGCACTGCCTATAAGATGTCCTTCCTCTTATCTTTAAAAGAATATTCTAGTGATAAAACAACTCTTACATACCCACCAAGAGGAAAGGAAGGTTAAAAGTAAGAGGACCTAATTTTGGTTTCCCAACAAAGCAGATGCACAGTAATATTGTATATTTTGATGTGCACATAACTGCTTGTAAAGGACCTCTGGCATATGAATTAAGTTTACAATTAGATAGTGACAAGATACAACATACAGTTGCTCTGAAAGTCCTATGATTTACATAAATTAAAATCTTAAAATAAATGTAAAGAGAGCCTAACAGGATCATTCATTCCAATATAACATCACTAGGGAACATGCCTCAATATCTGCGCTGACAGATTTTACACAACTTCAGCAAAGGCTACGTGGTTGAAACAGGAAGAAATCAGTGTCTAATTTGACTGTTACTCTATGTATTTTTCATTTTTTTTTTCCTCCAATATTATGGATGTCACTATCAGCTTAGTTTTCAAAAAACCTGACAAAGCTATAAATAAATAAATAAATAAAAATCCCAACCAATCAACCACAAAGAAATCCACAAAACAAACCCCACCAAGCACAACCCTAACACGCTGCAGTTCTCCTCCGAGACCCCAAGCGCAGGCTGACTTGGCTGTTCCGTGGCACTTAGCACCTGTGTTTCTAAGAGCTTTGAAGATCCTCTCTGACATAAACACGACTTTGCAGTGCTCTCGTTACCCTTGGCTTCGATGTGGCTTTAATTAGGTCTTATTCGGCTAAGCACTACTGTATGAAAATTCTACTGTGCATTTTGTTTTATTGACTTCATAACGAGATGCCTGGATTGACCTCAGATCTTGCTATGGTGTGAGGGGTTTGGAATTGGCTTAAGTATTTGGTTAAAGAAAAGTCATTTCAAAGACATTAGAGGTTTTTGGCAGTGTTTCTGAAAGCTGCAATTCAAAAGAAATTGCCAAGCACTTGGGAATTCATAGTTGATAGCCTACGTCTCCTACCTTCCCTGTAAAATATTGTGCTTAACGCACGGAACAATCCTTGAGTGTGGCAGTTTTTTCTAACCATGGAACAAACCAACAAATTTTAATTTAAACAGTGTAAAAGGAGTTTAAAAAGTAATTGCAGAGATAAGCTCAGAATCATCTTAGTCTCATAAATTTAAAAAAGAAGTTGCTTAAAATACATCTAAGCAAGTACTCCTGTGAATTCAGCATTTTCACCCGAGTTCTACTTTCCCGACTCCTCATTCCTACTCAGCCAGGAAGAAAGAATACGACATTTACAGAAAAACAAGTCATCATCATCCGATTTAACAACTTCGCATTTCAGCTTTCAGACTCTCTATTAGCAAGACAATGAAAACCAAACAGAAATCCTACGAATCACTGCCTTAATTCAGTTTACTTCTAACAGCATATACAATTGCTTTTTCATTAACAAACTAGTTGTTACACCAACCTGCTCATTTTCTTTATTTGTAAATTCAACGGAACTATCCTCATATCTGTAAAGTAACTACACTGTGAAATTTATAGGAACAGTGTTTTAAATAAATGAAAACAGACTTCTTGTTGCAAACAGTTTTCTGAAACATCTTGATAATAACAAGCCTAGAATTAATTTAATGCATTTGGTGTTACTGTAAGTATCCAAATATTTAACATACAGACAGTGATTTTTCAATTTAAAAAAAAAAAAAAAAAAGCTAATCGTCTTGTAAGGAGGAGATTCTTACACCAAATATATGTGTACATGGAATACAATTGTAGCTATACATATCCTGGCATTGTATTTGTATTTCTAAAATAATAATTTAAATAAGCGATCTTTAAAGAAAAAAAAATCAAGCTTCTTTGAAATGGCCATCATGAGTGTTATGCAATAAGAATATTTAAGAGTGTAATCAGCTTATTCAAGCGGCAGTATTAGGAACATACTTTCTGATAATACTGAAAGAAAAAAGATAATCTTTAAAATTCAAAATTGTCTAGTCTTATGTGCCTAGGATTGGATACTGGCACCTAACCCACTGTCTGGATTCACTTTTGAAAGCCTAGTAACATAGGTGTGCACAAATTGAAATCTACAGGGACCGTAAGCTTACAGTTACAGTATACATCAAATAAAACGTTGTCTTGTGAGCAGCATGCCAAGAAATACTTGAAGGCTAAGCAAATCTCACCCAAACTGCTCAAAAGATGATACTTTTTATCGAACAAGGCATTCATTATTATACAAGTTTATTAAAAATATTAGCAAATGTATACTAATTCCATGGTAAACATTTTCAATAGAAACTTATAGGCTTATGTGAATTAATGTAATATTCCTACAATCTATTTGCACAGAGAGAAAGTTACGGCAAATAAGAAAGTGAGTTCATGAAACTTATCCAACATTGAGATACCAGCCTCAGATCTATGAGGGTTACTTACAAAAATACCATTAATCTTTTTATAATATAATCATATTAATATTAAAATCATATCCAGATAAAGTGTTCCCATAAGGAGCAAATTAATACCCTCATAGACATAAAACCCTCGAGTCAGACTAAAATAAATTATTATCTACAGGCTAAGAAAGAAAGAAAAAAGCCTTTAGGTTATGCTTGGTGAAACACTCATTGCAATATTGTTTGAGCACCTCTCTTGAACATCTTCTGAGTAGACTCAGAAGTTTAAAGACATGTCAGTTATAAATTAAAGGAAAAAACACTTTAGAAAAAAACCCCCACCAATCTGGCATATGTGATTGCAAGCATGAAATACTGGCTCTTTATTTGGAAGGTTTGTCTTTTATTTCAAAAGGGCTAAGATGCTACTACAGATGAACTGGCTACTTTTCTTCCCCTGCCCCTGCCCCATACAAGACACTACAATCCACTGCAAAATCCAATAGGCAATCTAGCATTGTTCCCAAGGCGCGCAATTTGCATCTTTACTAAAGATTAGTCTTACCTTTATACTGAAAGATTAGTGATGCCCTCTCAGAATTTGCCCTCTCTCTAAGTCTCTAATTTTTAAAGAGAAATCAGGTATAGAACATTTTTGCTTTTTTACCAGGCTACTTCACATACACCTCTTCCTCCATGTAAGATGAATAAAGAAAAAATTCTTAGGGAGGGAAGAGAGAGGAAACAGACAGACATGGCAAGACCTTTTTGGGACAGAATTTTGATTTTGTAAAAACAAATAAATAGACAAATAACGTAGATTTAGACAGCCTTCTGAAGCATCTGTAATGCAAATATTACAGAAATGTAGTAACTGCTGATCACAGAACCAGAAGTTCAGACTGATTTGTTTTCATTGTTAAAGCTAAGTGAAATTTGGAGATGACTCCTGGGTTAAGGTAGATCAAAAGACAATCTTGTCATAAATGTAGAGTTATTAACAAAAATATTTTAAAAATATAACCTGATAGTGTCCACTGAAATAATAAGACATCCAAATAATAGCTCTGCAGTGTCAATTTTTTAAGTCACAGTCTTCTGTCAAATGTTGTCTTCTGATACTAGCTTGTATTCTCATACTGGTCTTGATTTTCTTATTCTTGGTGATGCTCAGCCTTCTGATTTTGCTGATCCATTGACAAAGTTGGCTGTAATTTTAAATTAAAGTACAGTAAACAAACGCAGTTTTGCTTCACATGAAAAAAAATATAGAAACTAGACCAGGAAAATAAAAAAAAATAAAAAAAAAAATCAAAAAGCTGAAGTATTTCCTTCAGTTGACATTAACTTGGAGCTAGGTATGTAAAATGTTTAAGAACTTTGGCTGTACAAAGTGGATATGAACAAGAATCAGACAGAAGTTGCTTCTACGCCTAGTCTCCTGTCTCCAGGAGCAACAGATACCTCATCAGAAGTATTAAGAATAAGGAAATACAGAGTGGTCCTACCAACATAATTTCTCTCAGGTTCCAAGGGAACCTTGGTGACTTCCTGAGGTCTAACTTGCATTTAGACCACTGTTTTATTAGCCGCTGACAGACTGAACCCCAGGAATTAAATCTCAATCCTTACTTTTGCAGAAATTATTTCTACAAATTCTCTGGTTTTTGTATCCTTCTTGTGTTCATTTTAAACATGCTACTACATTAAAATTGTCTGTTCTTCTGTTATGAGAAATAGCAAACAGCAATTTGCTATTTACCTGCTCAAAATCACTTCAGGTTTTAGGACTCTACAGTGTCTCCCATAAGACGTTTTTTGAGCTAGGCGGTAGTTAGTCTCTCCCTTTACTGTCATCTTTTTCTGTATCTTTCTGGCAATCGTCTAAGTCTTTTCAGATGGGGTCACCAACATGGCATACAACTTTTGGGATGTGGATGCACACACGGATTTATACAATGGATAGTACATTCTAGCCGAGGGTTTGGGGGTTGGTTTTTTTTATTGCAACAAGAAATTGACCTGATGTTTGCAGGAAAAAAAACCCATTGATTTAAAATCTTTCACGAGACAAATGCTAATTTGAAGTCCATTGTTGTGTACACATAAACTGTGTTTCCTTTCCCCTGCCTCCATAATATGCGTTACTTTGAGCAGCTTAGAAATTTAGGAATTGCATTGCAAATTAGGAATTTGCCATATTTTACTTATTCCATGTTTGCAAGATCTTTCTGCAACTCTCTGCTGTAAGAAATTCAGAATAATTTTGTTTGTAGAATTTGTTACCTCAACAGTTTGTTTATTAATACATCAGCACAAAAACTTGTTGGGCCCCATTGGTAAGCTCTCTTCAGAATGCCAATTGACCATTCTTATACTTTGAATAATTACTAATTAACTAAGTAGTCATCAATGTCTCTTCTTCCAAGACATCTTAGTTTAACCAGGATCTTAGTTTAGTTGTTCTCCATTATTTCTTAAATAATTTTTACTTATTCCTTAGGATTCTTTTTCCTTATTATACAGCGTTGTTGGTATTACACCAGCAAGGCCTGTGCTATATCCTAGACAGTCTGCCATTTCACGCTTACGAGCTTTGCCTGTCATTAGCTTAAGAAGATCAGGCCACAGCATGAAGAGAAGCTGCAACAGGACAGATGGAACAAAGCAGTATGTGAAGGATTTATGGTACACTTAACTTCTAGTCCGTCTTTTGCCAATTAAATCTGAACTTGATTATTTTGGCTACATAATTCGCCACACCTAACAACCTCAAACATATATTCTTTCACTATACTGTTGCGATT